GAGAGTATTAATATAATAATATAATATAATTAATATATATATATATATATTAAATAGTAATAATAATAATTAAATATAATATATTATTAAATCGATTTGATTTCTTATGGTTTTTAAAAGACAACACAATTCCCCAACATTCAACACCCCCTTATTAAGGGAGTGTCATTAGCACTCCCCTAAAAAAAACCTTGTCCTTTGTGGATGCAACAAACACGCATATTTTAAATAAATATCAACGTTGATCTTTACATAGGGGTCGTTTACCTAAATGTTTACCGGTAAGTGTTTGACATTAAGAGACAACAATATAATTTATTTTATTGGGTAATATTATAGTACATCAAAACGTATCTTATACAACAATTTACCTGGTAAGCGCTTACCCGGGTAAGAGTCGTCACCTTCACTTACCGGGTAAGACTCTCCATCCTTGTCATCGTTCTTACCGAGTAAGATTTTTGGTTCTTACCATGTTCATCCGGTGAGGAAAATTATCCGGTAAGTATTTACCAGATAAGTGTTTAATAAATGACCACTTAATTGAAATATATTGTTTGTGCAAAACAGGTATTTGAAACAAACAACTTCATGGTTGACACCATACTATTCCCTCTCAAAAGCATGTGAAAGACAAATCAATGATACAACGGTCCATTAGATGGTTGGCTTACAAAGCCTAATGTTCACAAAGGCGAATCCCTGAAGAAATTGTGACTGAATTGTGATTGAAGGATTCGAGCCATCGTCAGTTTTGCTAAATATAATTTGTTATTCAGCTACCAGCTAGTTTATCAGATAGGTTGCCAAACATAATCTATATTTTACCAATAAGAAAACCCGGAGTTATATGTTTATGAAAGATAAATAATATTTTGTTAAATGAAATATTTTAACGTTGTAATTTCCAAAATGTAGAAACTATTGGAGAAAATGTAACTATTTTTTGGAGATTTTGAATTTTGGTTCTCTACTTCGGAGATATTCTTAACGATTTAAAATTTGTTATAAGTTACACTTAATGTTTTTCTAAAAATTTTCTTATTCAAATGCATATAATAATATGGTAGGCTAAATACATTCTTATACGTGCATTCTACGTACTAGACATTGTTTGACAAATATAAGCTAACTTATTTTCTGTGTATATGTTTGTATGATCATAAGCTAGCTTATCGAAATGCTACTTGTGATAGTATTTTGGGTGTTTATTGTGACTTTTTTACAATCGTAACTCTCATTAATATCAATTATTAATTATTAATAAATATTAAATAAAAATAAATTATTGATATAGTAATAAATATTAAATAAAAATGAAATATTACTATATCAATAAATATTAACTATTAATTATTAATTAT